TGGGGCTGGAGTGGCGCGATATGATCGGACGGTAGATCGGAGCGGACCCGTCTGCAGCGTCAGCGGCTTCACTCGCTGCCCGCCCGCCCGATGCCTACTTTCGGATCAATTATAATCCTCACACTCCTGCTACAAATGTCGCAGAATGCTGCTGCCGCTGAGACGCTGGCTGGCGGGCGGGCGGGCAGGCGGTCCCTCTGCGCTGCGCTGAACTGCTGCAGCCGGTGCCGCGGCCGCGGCTAGGGCCTACCTCGTCCAGCACTTTCGGGCGCGGGGTCTGTACATCATTTGCCGCAATCACGCCAGGCAGCAAATGATGCTTTTGGCCACTTTTCACTCGCTCTGTCAGCTGTACGTTGGCAGATACCAACGATGTTCAAATTATAAGACGACCCGCGGGCCTTCGGATGCGTACGCATGTACGTATGAGCACATCTGACCACCGTCTTCAATCCCTCCGTCCCTCCCTCCCGGATGCACAACTTCGCATGATTCGCATGGTTCCATCCATCCCACATCCCCGCTCATCATCCGTTCCCTTCCATCCATCCCTTCCATCCCCATTCCGGTACGCCGGGCTCACCGCACTCGGTTCCGCTCGCTCCTAGCGTTATTGCCCTCGCGATGGTCCCGATGACCCGTGCCCCGTTCAACCGTTTTGTTCTCGATTCTCGTTACGGTAAAGAACTGATTCGACTCCGGCTCGGAGGTCCACAGTTGCTACAGAGTTTCCCGTCTACATATCGTCACCGTATCATATTCGTACATTTTATTGTACAATCGGGGTACCGTTCGCAAGCAGACAGCTTTTACTTAGACCTGAATCAACAAGAGCTCGCTCATTCATTGGCGCCATCCGTCGCCTTTCTTCTCCTCGGAGTTTGGGTTGGGCGAGACCTAATCCGAGCCTGCAATTCCCCTGCACCCCGTGATCTAATCGGCTCCGTTACATACTTAATTCCATGCTTTTCTTACGATTACCGGTTTATTAAATTCCTGTTATCTCGAGGTGCAAGATATGAGCGGATTCTGCTCGATGCTCCGCTGGATGCTCAGCTCAGCTCCAGGCTAAGGCTCTCCAGCTGACGATATTTGCTCGCTGCTGTACCATCGTTCTACGACCTCCGGACCCTTCAGCGAGCGAGTAACGCCCCCGTGATCTTGAAAACGGCTCTGGGACGTCGGGATCGCTCTTCGGGCTTGGAGTTCTCGATAACAACCGTCGTAACGCATCGGGCTGCAAGGCAGAGGGTCCCGCCCGCCCTCGCCAGCGGCACCACCGTTACCGTTACCGCCTAGGCTGCCTCCGCGGGTCCGCTGCCGCACTGGTGTTTGTATTTTGCTACTAGTGAGATTGGACGGTGAGCCCGGAACGTTATTGTGGTTGGGGTTAGAGCAAGCATGGAGGAGTGATCAGGAGCCTTGTTCGTTTGACTTTGGTCCGAGGGAGGGAAGGAAGCTCGGCAGCGACTTTCACAACGTTATCGAATTATGTCCACATGCGACCGACCGACTCACTGCCTGACGGATTATCGGACTGACCGACCGCCCGTGTCCTTCATTTGTATTATGCCGGATTAGGCGACGACTTGTCACTTAGGCTCACAATAAAAACAAGCGGCGTGGGCTCGCTGCACGAATCGGATCTCGTAGGCTATAATTTTCGTTCGGGGCTCGGGTTGCAGATTTGTCAATCCGGCTCTAATTCCACAAACGGCTGATCGGATCTGCAATTTACTCGAAATTCACTCGAATAGGAAAAAGTAGGCGCAGCATGTTCCCGACGTGGATGGAATAGGGTGGAACCGTCGAGAGTCAATTTCGGCCGAAGACCGAAGATCTTTCTGATGTTGTGTTTTCGGCCGAATAAATGGTTAGTGCAGTAGACTTCTATAGAGCTACTGCGCAACGACGACGCATGCTGTTCAACTTTTGGGGCTCCGATCGAAGGCAGAATCTCGACTTTCCGGCTGGGGGTCTGGAAATTCAATCCATTTACATGAGCGAATCAAAGGAGAATAGCTTTCCTGGATTCGATCAGCGCAACTCGTCGTTCTGTGGTTCCCATATGCATGACTAAGAGCGTCGTGCTCCCACTTGGCGTGTGGAATGCAGCGTGGCGCCGGGCTAGCACACCAATCCGCTCACGGCGGGCCGACACAAAAGTATCGACGCTGAACTTGTTCAAAGGATTTTTCTCCATAATAATAGATTGGAGGTGAAGGGAGAATCCTTCTAGAACTTATCCTAACCTCGGACGAGCTACGGCCTGAGCGTCGTAGTAGAGCGGAGCAGTAGACCTCGAGGATAATGTCCAAAAGACGCTCTCCATTTAGGGGGCCGGCGAATCGTAAGCCGCAAGGTCACTCTTGATATTGAATCTCCACATCAGGTAGGTCCTGCCCGGCCCCTTTCTTCCCATTTGCTCCGGAATTATGGACGATCCACTACGTACATACTGTTCTCAACTGCAGTTCAAGTGCTCTCTTGGTCTCTTGCTCTCCTCGATTCGCGAGGAGGAAGGACAACTTTCTTTCCAACGCCGCTATCATGATCAACATCTTGATCGACCTTCTACTGTGTTATATCTTCCGTTGTGCTTTCTTTCGTTCGTTGCTTCGGTTACACAAAAGAACCTCATCTTTGCGTGGTGTTCAAGATTGCGCTTCCTTCACGACGTCGATTGAAAGAGACCTCGAGATAAGATGGACCAGACGTGAGAACATTCATTCCAAAACGCGTTTCGGGACTGGAGTCACTTCGGCACAAGTGTACATATGAAAAGCTGAGTGTGAAGAACTTCTAATGCCAACGAGGTAACTGGTGCTGTAGTCTGGAAGTTTCCTCGATTGTGTTGGGAATTCTTCATGGAGTTCATCATGACTCCTTAGGAAACATCTAGATGCGATCCTCTCATCATAAGATAATGTGCTTTGCTTGTAGCGTCACATCTTGCGGAAGAGTTTCGCATTGGCATCTATGCTCATTAAAGCTCACGGTGCGTACATGCGCCCAATGCCCTTTCCTCGATTTGTATGGAAGGTTGTGAGTATGTAGACTGTCCTTCCCTCGAGGATGTCATTCACGAGCTCGGTTTCTAAGGAAGAATTTCCAGCAGGAGGGGTTCCAAAAATTATACTTAGTATATAGGAAAATATGGTTTCAAAATGGCTACTGGAAATCTTTATGAGTGTGTCAAAATTCAAGTTATATATCACCGGTCAATCTAAACTACACGAAGCGTTTTCCGATCGTTCATCGGGGATAGGACAGTCAAGCAGTCAAATTATGAGACTAGGAATTCAAATTATCCATGAATTCTAATGTACGAATGGATCTGGGAAATCTTCAATCTCCTGAATCGTGGACTATGATTCGACTAAGAATATTTCCCAAAGTCATACGTACATTATAAAAACGTACGGTCCATCTTATGTTGAAATTGTACGACTTATGGAACCTTGGAGAAAGTGTGTATGTATCTCATAGGCCTTCTTCTGCTGACTTTGTTTGTACCGAGCTCCACTAGTTTAGATACCTAGTCTATAAGAAAGGTTCAGAAACGACAATGCACAGGACACAACAGAATTGCTACTGCAGAGCACAACCAGCTGATTGTGTTGATATATACTTCGCCCATGAGTATTTGTCCAATTTTCAAATGATACAATTACTGGAGGATACCTGTTTTGAGCTAGCCTAGAGAGCGATACATTACAACATGTTATCGTAATTTCTGCAGAGCTACTGCAGAGCACAATCACCTCCGTTGTGTAGATAAAACCTGCCCTCAAATTGGCGAGCTTGCCTCTCTGAATCTTTCATTAATCTCCTGTCAGAGGGTAACGAGTGGAGTAAAGAAATACACAATACAATTCGATTTTCCGGTTGTCCACTTCTTCATGCAACACCACGGAGAAGCTGGTAAATGTGTTTCCAAAACACTATGCACGACTGTCGAATTTAGTCCGACTGAGTTTCCCCCTTAACCGTGTTGGTCAATATACGATTCCGAGGAGATCCTCAATGATTAATATTCCGATTTGTTAGTAAGGAGATTACAGCTCGGAGAATAGCATGTGAACATGACGAAAGAAGATGTCAACTTCTGGGCTCGTTTTGAGATTCCAGCACTGTTGGGATGAAATCATGAGTTAGAACCCAAGAGTTCATCTATTCAACACAAGCGCGTGAATGACAGAACCACTTCAAGGAAGTGTCATGCCGTCGTAAGGGACGAAGATATCCAGGAGTATAATACTCGAAAGCACGTACTTATCTTCATACCGAGGTTTTATGAGCTGTAGATTCAATAATCATGGTCAACTAGAATCCATATTACACTCATTTGCTAATCTTATGCTTTGAAAATGGAGTCAGCGTGGACATCCGTGGAAAGCCTCACAATTGATTCGTTTCACATGCATTGGTTTGATAAGCAGAAAAAGAACCACACATACTAAACTGAAAGTTTTGGGACATTCCACATTTCCTCATAAACCACACATTCCACCTCTCACTTCAAACGAGGAGACTTTGATTGCACAAGTGGATAAAAGGAGCTTTCATCTCAAGACGAAGGCTTTCATAAATCTCCCCCACAACAATTAAAACATAAAAAAAGTGTGGAAACACCTATTAAGAATTTTAGAATGTAATTTTAGAAGCCCAATGGTGCACAAGAAAAAAAAACAAAATCTGAAACTAGCAAAGGAATGAAATCAGTCCCTCAGATGCTTTTCAGAATATGCGACCTCAGCAGTTCCCGAGTACTTTATATTTTATTGTAGTTTTCCTGGCGACGGGGTGCATCTGATAAAGCGGAATATTGAGAAAAGATGCTGTGCAGGAGTTTAATCATGCCATTCAGCAAAGCCAGCGTCATCAAAGACTGTTGCCACCTCATTTTTCCGCAAAATGCTCCAGAAATCGGCTGAAGGAAGGAATTACTTTGTTTTCTATTACATGTACTGTAGAGCAGAGCATAAGAAATTGGAAGCACCTGACCACACCAACACAAACATTCGAACACAATCGGGATCCCATAATCGGGAGACTAGAGAAAGTGGAAAACGTCCACCATAGAGGTCCCTCTAGCGAGCACAGAGAGCGTCAAAAATTCCCAGACCACTGGAGAAATGGAAAGACGTGGGAGTGAGCTGGGCTTGCATGCTACTCAAAGCGCAACAGAGGTGAGAGAAAAGTCGCGGGAAAACCTTCTGCATGCGCTCTACAGATTCTGGCATGCTGAAATGGGTCGCATCACTACCCCACGAACAAAAATAACAAACGCGTCAATGACAGAAGAAGCGCTGGAACCAAGTACAACACGAACGAGAGCGGAAGCCCTTGGACATTGCGTGTGGGGCCCTAGGGCTGTGATAGCTGCGCGAGCGAGAGCGAGCGAAGGAGCGACTAATCTTCACTCACTCCATCTCTCTCCGGCCGATCCTCAACAGAATGTTTTTAACGGCATATCATCATCTCTTTATCTATGCAGCAGAGGCATATATAAAGGCGACGCAAAATGACCTTTTCCTACGGGGAATAAGCGATGGCATCTTAGGCCAAATGATGTGGCGAGCCTCGTCGATGACGTTCTCTTGGCTGAATGGCATACTTCCACTTCTGCACAGCATCTTCTCCCGAGATTCCGCCTTACTAGTGGCTTTCCGTCGTCGCCAAAGGAACGTCCAGTACACAAGATGTAGCTTCCTACCTAGCGCATAGGATGCTAGTCGCCGCTCACATAGGATGCAATTACGTCTGAAATGCATCGTCTTTCTTACTTCTAGCACGATGGAACAGGAGGGAAGATTTTATGCGTAACGTAAGCGTGTAATTATGCACGAGTTACGTTCTTTTCCGTTCCTGCACACTATGGAATGTGACATTTTCTTGTAATGCAGTCTATCAGAAGAGAGCCGGAGGAGAACAGTCGATCGAGTTTTGTCCGATGGCTGTTGCGATGGTACTGCTTCCTCCCCCTGCTGCTCACTCCAACTGTCGAAATGGAAATAAACAAAGGTCGCGGGATCTGAAACAGCTCGAGATCATGGGATCCAAGCCCTGTCCAAACCTGTTACTGGAATTGTACCGTACTTGTCTTCTTCGTGTTGTTCTGCACCGCTTCTCTTTTGAAGATTATAGTACAAACACTTCCTTAGCGAGGTTGACTCCTCAATAATTTAAAAGGCTTGTCAGGGTCGAACAAGATGTGCATGCCAAGAGGGGAACTGTGGAATCTAAGGGGGTTGAGCAAAAAGGACTATCATTGACATTATGACTCGGGGCCCATTGCGCATGGTCCACCCCAAGCAATATATACTCTCAGCCATTATTTAATCAACTCCTGCACTGCCGCAGCTGATGCATGCATGGCCATGCTGCTGCAGCTGCATGGAGATGGTAACTGGAAAAAAGGATTAGAACAAACTACAGGAAACAAGTGACGAGGCGTGAACAACAGGATAACCTCCCTTCTGCGGGTCCACTGCTAAATTTGCTGACTTCATAAGTTCCGAGACTACGATATCACCAACCAGTGAGGCACATAAAGAAGATTCTAGAGAGAGCCCGAGGGGAAGGAATTTCTCATGTCAAGACTTTGGGAATGTAAAGAAAATCTATGTTCGAGTCTTTCATTCGACTGCATGTACGACGACGACCAGCATGGCGATTAACCGGGATCGGAATCCAGGGTTGTGGGTTCTTTGATTCGGAAGCAAGGGTTCACCGCGCAAATCCCATTCAAATCAAATGATTAGCTCACCACTCCAAACAGAAAGCACAGAAAAACATCTCATCCGTATCATCCATCCCTGAGTAACATGCTTTCCCCCGGTACCTCCATCTCGAGCAAATGTAAACCAATGACATGAACATCGAGTTCTTAATTAGAAAATACTCACTTTCTCTAACCACTTTGCTCGATGTCCAGCAGCAGCTCAATCGTTCTCTGCCTCTGACTGGCTCTAACAATTTTATGCATTCCTACCGAAAATTCCAAACTCGCCCACGTTTTAATTAACCAGAACGATTGAAATTTCAAAAGTTGAATCAATAATAATTTCGAAAGATCTCACGCTCCATCAGCCGTGGCTGTGAATGTCTTCCCAGGAAGCTACCCAAGCACAGGCCCTCAGAACGGGTACCCGGTTGCCAACGTGGTTGTCCGTGAAACGGAGACTGGGAGTTTCCACCGAGTCTTCTCTCGGAGACCACAGTTTGGGTATGGTCAAATGGAAAGTGTCCCGGTCTTCCGATGGGTTTATTTCTTATACATTCTCCTTGGAGAATATGGAAGACGCTTTCGTTCGTGTATGACAATCCTCTTTGCTTGTTGAGGAAGTCATAGGCTGTTGACTTGGACACGACAGGACGGGAATAAGGATATCAGAAGAAATCGGCCTAGGCCTATGCCTAATCCAGAGTGTGGATTTTGGAGTCCAAGAAGTGAGTCTTCAGCCAATCCAAAAAAGGCAAAATAATAACTCGTTAGCTCAATTCCGAGCTGACTCTGCAAGTAAACCCTGCAATGCGACAATTCCAGGTGCTCAGGAGGAAAATTCTATGGCGTCTTTCACGAGCTGCATGAACTTATAATACCTTGTGTGCCCAAAATGCTAATCGCATACTTTTGTGGGTTTTTCTAATTTTATTTGTGTGAACTTTTCCCTCAACATAACTTCGTTGAAAGTGAAAGGCCCACATTCCTGATAAAATGTTGAATGTACGATAAAACTGCATGTTGTTAGATTCTAAGTGTGAAACTTGTTTCCCAAGTTTCAGGACTTTTTCGAGCCTCAGCATCTGGATTATGAGTGTTGCTACATGCTCATATATATAAAACAATGAATCCTTCGACTATAGGTTAAGTATTCAATGTATGGTTTTTCTACTGGTTCAAATATTTAAAATAGATTTCTATTTAAAATAGAGATCTAATATATATCATGTTCTCTCACTTTCTGTAAAATGAGCTAAGTTCTCTAACAATGGCATTAAGCATAGTCGCTGGAGACCGTCATGTAGAACTCTACTACCAACCTCATTTGAAGCTTTTTGTTTGTGAAATGCGCAATGAAATTGTCAATACAAAACCGTACATTGAATTTATGATTCTACTTTTATGAAAACCTGACAAAATATATATTCATCTACTTATTTATTTTGACATTAAGATTAACTGTGAAATTGAGGAAATTTATCGATTTTTATTCTCTTTTTGCTTAGAAACGATTTAATATCATCGTAGATTTTCTCAAATTAAACCGAGTACTGACTTTCAACATATTTCTTACCATGATGAGCTATCTAATATCAATAAAAAAATTTAAAAATTAGACTAGTTTTATCATAGAGTTGCATGAACAGGTTGATAATAAGTCATAACGAACTTTTTTTCCATCTAAAGGATTAAGAATGAGTCTAAAATCATAACTCATTTCAACATTGTAATATTTATGTACTTGAATATTATATTTCACTAAAACACGAGTTTGCAATCTCGATTTGTTTTTCAATTATTCAATATTTTTTTAGTTTAAACATATTCATTTTTTCATCCTTAAACTTCCAGATGATCTAAATTGTGACAACATATTTTCTATTATAACTTCAAAGGCGTCAATGTGAACCTTCCTCGATTTAATTGACACATTATTGTCATTTTTCCTTCGCCCGATTACTGTCACCAATTGAATAATTGGAAAAAACATGAGCTTTTACTTACGGAAATAACATGCAGTCATCAGAGAAAGAACATGAAAAAATCCTACACCCCCGCATTTTCTTTTAGATTAGAAATATTAGAAAGTGATACAGATACAATACAATGATTGTGCACCATGATTTGAATATGAGATCTGCCAAGGATCAAATAAGTAACGGGAAGTACACAAATGATGTCTCTGCTTTGTCAGTGGAAGAAAATCCTAAACTTTATCCTTCTGTCTTTCCAAAAAGAGATTATTGTCCTATAATTTGATACTATGATCTCGATAAAAATCGCCATACTTCAAGGTTGTATTAACACGTTCTTCTTTTAGTTATGCAAACTATACATTTCAAGACACTGCTTTTGTTTCAGCTTTCTTCAAAATCATTTTCATGTTCTTCTTACGAATTTCACATTCTCAATTTAACTAATTTTGATCAAATGCAGAAAAGGAAGCATCTAGATTTCTATTTTTTTACTTTAATTTTTTTTTTCCAATCTGTGTTTGTACATAATTTTCAAACAAAGCTTGACTACATAAGTGTATCTCACGGGAATCTTCAAAAAAGAAACTATCACATACACAAGTATAATTTTATCGTTTCATAATAAGCATATATTCAATAAAATATGCTATTGATATCAAAATCTACAGAATAGTACAATTTGTTCTTACTTAAAGGTGGATCCAACAATGCTATAGATTCTATTGGGTATAAAGCAGAAGATACTTTAAAAGAATTCAGAAAATAGTTTTTTTCTTAAATTATCAGTATCCAAAGCATTATTTATGAACTAATACTCAAATCAAACTAAACGATGTGCAATAGATTTATACTTTTACTTTTATTTTTGTAGTTCAATTGGTCTTTGCGATAACAATATATAACGATGAAAAGTTTTTACTTTCTTAGTATAGGCAGATTCTTCAAGTGTTTTATGCCACAGGTACTACTCTTTCTCTCAACCCATACAGAATTGCCTTCAAATGAATGATTGCATTAAGCTTATTAAGAACATGCTTCTCTTGGAAATACTGTAAATTTTTCTTGGATGTAATAAATTTTGGCTGTAGAACAAATCATGGAAGAAGTATTAGATTGGTTATCGTTATTTATATTTTTTCTAAAAAGATGTCAACAATCTTAGTATTTGATCACTTGAAAAAGATTCGTGCGTTTGCAACAATCTCATAACTTTGTGACAAGTGAGACATTTTCTTCATTCATGTCAATAATGTGAAATTAGGTGGGTTTAGGTTAAACCATTAAATGATACCTAAAGTATGTCAACGATCTATTTCTTCTATTTCGAAGGTATCGTAAAAATAAGATAACATTTGTGGTGTTTTTATTTTTCTTTAAATCGAAGCTTTAAATTTCTCATTTGAAACATTTCAGTTAATTTTATTTCGAAGAAGATGAAAGGGCAAGAAATACTACCATGAGAACGGGGTAAACAAGGCACACTGAAACCCCTCCAAAGAAGTAGTTGCCAAAGCTAGTAGCCCCCTTTGCATTCCCTTGCTCGTTTCACCTCGCAGTAATAAATCCCAAAGATATCAAGAAGAGAGATGTATGAGATCGAAGGTTTCATATAGATAAACCCCAAGTCTTAGACTTGTTCAATCACTCATCATTGTAGAACAAGGGAGACACTAGTTGGCTTCATCATTGCAGAGCCATGGGTTTAAGTTCTCTGAAGATGAGCACAAACAAAAGTTAGATGTAGTGACTCCTCCCGTCACCTCTCTTGATATGAGTCCAAAGTGACACACATCGGGAACAGCAGAATTTGTTGAATACCACTTTTGCAGAGTTAAACCACTTTATTTTGCAGTTCAAAGGTTAGCACAAACCGCCGGACCCGTGTAAAGCGCCCCCGTCGCTTTCAGCGGAGTATCAGCAGTTTGACTTTTGGTGCACCCAGTTCTCCTTTTCAGTTTATGACTCTGATTGAGACCGGAGTTCTGACACGTCTATTAACTCGCCTGGCAAGTCTGGGGACAAGATTCTGAAACATTAGCGAGGGACAATGGCGGTGGATTAGAAGTGGATAACAAAAAGTTATTAATATGCGGAACATGGAATATAGATACAGCGAGAAACCCATCTTCCGAGCTCCATAATTGTGAAATATGTCTGCCGTCACAAAAGCAAAACAAACAAAGCATTTGACACGGGACGTTCTTAAATACAAGGCGAGTATCAAGGCCCCGTACATTCCTGGAAGCATCGTGAGTATTTAATCGTCTTAATAGCCAATAACTGGACATTACTTGCCCAAGGACACTATAAACCTTCTTAACCTGCACCAGTTGATGAGGGCCCAATTACGGTCATGTCCAATGGCCGTTACCATCCATCCACCGCATGACGCTCCGTCCGATAGCTACCCCACGATACTCTCTACTGAACGGTCCAGATATTCTCCACCCACCCGATGTCATGCATGCTGGCCATGAGGATGAGTTAAGCCCGACATATGCGTGGGCGCTCGTACCGGTGACGTCCCGGTGTCCTCGGTGGGAACTCGGAGCCCAAACGCTGAGGGACGAAGAGATCTTGAATGTAGTCCCCGGAGTTGGGATCTCTCGCGGGACCGACCGCCCCATGGGATCGTACCGCATGGCTCCATTATTCCCCAAGACGCACCTAACGCTGATTTACATGAAACGGAGGGGGGGGGCTGGGGAAAGTGAGGCGGACGCTCATGGCGTACACGGAAGATGTGAAAGTGATTTGTGGGGTGTGGAGGGAGGACGCCATAACAAGATCTTACCGAACTGGAGTTGCTGAACAGTCCATTGAAACGATATGTTGGGCGTCTTAATCCAGTGGTTATGGGGTGGCTTATGCAGCCCCACCACCAACCTTTTTCGTGGTGCGGTGCTGCGCTGCGACCGCTGTCAAATTACCTACCTTTGAACGAGCGAAGATCAATGCTCGCTGCACGGCATTGTACAGCCTCTTTACTCGGCGATTGTGGTTCTCGAAGAGACGTCTCGACTTCTTTCATGCATCCTTCTCGTCCGTCTGGCCCGTTCCATGATCCTGCACTTTCACTGTACTATCGACGTATTGTTGGAACTCTCTCCATCTCAGGACTCAATAAATTTGGTGCAAGTTGAATCGAACCATGTTTTTCTTATGTTCAGGATTATTAGACAAAATTATTACAAGTCTTCTCTCTTGTCATTGGTATCCCGTTTCTAATCATACACTTCTCCCTGGTTCTTGAAATTTATTCACTTCCATTGAAGAAAACAAACCATGTTAACTGCTCAATAAATTTGACGTGCGATTGGGAGGACCATTAAATGTGACAAAATCAAAGCTTCGAAATGAAAACGGGCCACGCATGGAAAGGGCTGATGGCAGAAACCATCAAAGAAGCGGAAAATCGAGGCCCAGACGTCTTTCAAAAGTACAAATAAAATTTATTAATCGATTATTTTGCGGTTAATTTCAAAGATCCACTCTTCGGCGTGGAACTTGGATGGGGAAGTTATGTTCTTGTTCTTGTAATTAGGATGAAATCATTGAATTTCTATCCTTTTTCTTTTCGTAACGAAGGGACGACGCTCAATACCTTTAATTCCAACGAGGGCTTGGCGTTGCCGACTTCGGGATAAGGAAGTTATGTTTCTCCTTATTCAGGTTTTGCAATCAAGTGTTGAAGTGAAGGCCGATGGAATTCAGGAATGAGGATATGGTCGATGCCGAAGTCCCGATCAGGAATTTATGTGAGGGTCACAAGGAAGGATCGACGAGATCGAGCAAAGTGTAAATTTAGAAAGAGGTTAGTGAGGTGGAAGCTTCCTCCTCAGACAGCGGTTGCGGTTGTAACCTCTGTCCAGCACGGTTCGAACTAGAGTGGGGACCCATAAAACCATGTTACTTCCACCAACCACATCCAGAGTGAACAGACCAAAGCCCTGCGGTCTTCACGGAGAGCAATGTAGTACAGTTTCATGATCAGGGGTCCGTCCCACGGACAATATACGGCCCTTGACATCTGCCAGCACGCGCTTCCCTATGAACCGTGGTTACTCCGAGAGACCATGTTCATCCGAACCAGTTGTCGACAGTACATTACTTACAGAAAGAACCACAGCCTGAAGTCAAAAAAAATGCACTCGCGCCAAGGTCCCTCCGTCCTCCCCTCCCCGATGAGGGCTCCCCAAACCGCAGACATATGGCTGACCTCAGCTTACGGTAACCCGAGGTGGGGGAGGGGGCGGGGGTTACCTTAACCGCCAGTTAGCCACCCACCATCTCACAGCCATACGATACATGCCGGATACGGTTCTGTTTTGTAGGACCCCCCAGTATAAAGTGCGATCTTTTAATGTGAACCAGAAGCACAAGGACACTGGAGGCCAACCCACCCAATGTTCTCGGCGAATGGGTGTCAACCAGTTGGGAATGCGCAGTAAATGAAGCCCGCGACGCAGTTAATGTGTAGGAAACGAAGGGATGGTATGGGATCAAGGCGAATGGGAGGAACTATAGGACCCAACAGAACACGGAAGACAACGGAAGAAAACGGAAGAAATCGAAACTAGCGGTGTCCAAGAAGAAGAAAGGCAGTTCACTCTCCGCAGAGTACCGAGAGGATCGGTAAGATCGGTGACAGTTAAGTAAAAAGCTAACAGGACAAGATAGAGAGCGAGAGAGAGAGAGGGAGGATTGATTCACTCCGAGTCTCCGAGCCTGATCGGGTCCGACCCGAGCCGGTTTGGGATGCGCCGAGCCGGTCTGGGCTGACCTTTGGTCCGGCTCGCCGTCGTCAGTAGCCCTGTCATTGCTGGCTTGCTTTCCGGTCGCCTTTTACTGCGCACAGTCGGGACTGTTGTGATTGGACTGTGCTGCTGCGCTGGTGCGAGCCGTGGCTGGTTTGGCTTATTAGTGGGACAGGACTGTGGGCCGCGGGAGTGGGGAAAGAGGAGGAGCGGGCAGCGGGAGCCGAGGCAGGGCCGGCGAGTGCATTGTAGAAGAGGAGGCGAGCCGCGAGTCGAGAGAGAGAAAGAGAGAGGGAGAGACGCGCGGTGGGGCTCAGCTGCTTGAGTGCAAAGGGCTACTACATTACTAGTAGCGCAACACTTCGGACACTCGGCTGTGAGTGCGTGTGTCCAGAGTGTCTCGCTCGCTCGCTCGTTTGCATCAATCACGACAGGTAGGGTGGGAGGAAGAGAGGGAGGGAGGAGCAGGAGAGCAGCAGCGGGGATTAGTCGCCTGCACTTCGCTGTCACTCACTCGCTCACTCCTCCGCTGCTGTGTGAAGAAGCTCGAGTTGGGCGGTGTGTGTGTGCGCATTCTCTCATGCTCCTTCACGCCAGCATCAGCAGCAGCGGCTCCACTGCTGCCACTACGACGAGGACTACTGCAACGAGCAGTGTTGCGATAGAGGAACGGCAAGCGGAAAGAGAGAGAAGAGGAGCCGACAAACGAGGAAGAGGAGGAGAAGGTGAGGTGGGGATTGAGTGCGAGGTTTGAGAGTGCGGGGGATTCTGTCATCTTGCATCGGTCCAAGAAGGGGCGAGTGGTGGGTGTCGGGGGTGTTGGCACTCAATAGCGGCTCTTGCTGTCATTTTCTGCGGGCTTCAGTGCTGGCCTTGCGAAGCTTTTGGAAACAGGGTTAGAGACGAGGTCTCAAGACGGAACGATTCTTTCGGCCTTGAAGGTGTAGCGCGTGACGAGCTTCGAAAGGAGTTTTGCTGAGTGAGTGGATCTCGTAATTGTGAATTTGAAGCACGGCTGTGTCGAAGAGTAGGCGAAGGAAGGAGCGAGTGCAGCGCGGGGAATAAAAGGGGTATTTTTCACCGCGGTTGACAGCTGACATTTTGCAAGATTGCCCGGTCGGTGGTGCCGTGAGCGACCGTCTTCGAGGACACGGGCCAGTGTTGTCCTCGGCTGAACGTCTAGGATTCTTGAACTTGTCACCCGTGTTTAGCAACGCATTGGGAAGGGAATGAGCACAGGCACCAGAGTTTAAACCTCAGCTTGTCGAACACTGCCTTGAAGAAAGTCGTCTAGAGTTTTCGCGGGAGAAGGCGCGTATCGAGTAATTTGAAGGAGGTCAAGAGATCCGTCGTCAAGCTGGAGAATATGTCGCACAGGAGTGTCATCCAGACGCTGGATCTACCCGATGACTATGGAGAGTACGACTCGTACACACCCCAAAGCTACGGGTGGCTGAGTCCAAGAATTTCTTTCTCGACGGATTTCATCGGTGCACAATCAGGTGGGTCGGTCGGATCAGGCGGGTCGCAGTCGGACAGGGAGGCGTCTCCCGAAGGAAGTAAGAGGAGCAGAGACGACGGGAGCTCGTATTCGGCCGAGTTCGAGTTTTCCATGACCTCGTCTACATTCCACGACGCCGTGTCCCAAGGATTTATGATGACAGCCGACGAGCTATTTCACGGGGGCAAGCTTCTGCCAGGGTACATTACACCGGATGGCAAGAAAGAGGTGCTGATCGTCGAGCCTCTGGTCGTTGAGCCCGTGGAAGGAACGCCGGTGACAATCGCACGACACTTGAGTGCGGAGAGCTTGACGGAGAGCTCGAACACCCCGAGCCCGCCCATGGGATGCGTTCTGGGGTCCGGGTGCCCGAGAACACCCAAGCCCCCGAAGTGGAGGGAGCTCTTCGGAGCTCTGCGGCGCGTGAAGTCGGACTCGGGAAGGCAGAGGGTACCGGAGGAGACGTTTTTACCGCCGAAAGCAATGCAAGGGAGGAAGAAGTTTTTCAAGCACTTCTTCAGCAACGGGCAGCCGGTCCAGGACGGCGTGAAGATGAGCACAATCTACTCCCCCATTCCGCACCGGCCGTACGTGCCTTCCTCGGCGATGTCGTCCTCGTCGGGCGCGACGCACCCCATGGGCGCCCCCGCGTGCCCGCCGCTCTCGTCCGGAGGCGCGGGCGCGGGCGCTACGGCCTCTTCGTCCGCGCTCCCGCCTCTGGATTGCAAGGACAAGAGCGGCGCGGTCAATCCGCCTCAAGCCTCCGGGGCCACGGCCGAGGCTGGCAGCAGCAGCGCGGGAGGAGCAGCGGGGCCGAGGGCCGCGGCTGAGGCGAGCCTGGGCGAGGCGCCGAACACGTCGCGGGGCAGAGGCGCGGCCGGCGCCGCGCCTGCCAAGAGCGGGGGCGGGAGGTTGAGCGCGCTCGGAGTGCCGGTGCGGAAGGTGGAAAGGCCGGTGGCGAGCGCGAATTTGATCCGGAGCGCGTCGGGGCGAGTCATTGTGCGGAATCTCGACAGAGCCACGAGCAATGTGAAGAATTCGGCCACGCTTCAGGAGCAAATCAGAGCTTTGAGGTCCAGGGAAATCAGGAGAAGCCCCGACAGGTCCGGGTACTCGTCCAGCGTGAGGGTGACGCCCGTGCTCAATGTCCCCGTGTGCATGGGGCCGGTGCTGCGCGGAGCCACCAAGGCCGGCAAGGGTCGACTGTCCAACTTCCGCTCTCTGCTGTCATTCAAGCGGGAGAAGCTTCCCACGTCGCTGTCCACTCCGATTGCCACCCAATAGCAGTCGCCGGTAGTCTGTCACACACGCAGGATCGAGTAATGCTTCTCTGTCGCTCTCGCTCGGGTCGATGAGTGTTTCATCAGGGTAGCAAGCATATACGGAAAGGTGATCGGTGGATGGTTTTTTCTTACGATGCCACTCCTGGAAGAGGAGGATGAAGAGACCGAGGACGAGGACGATTACAGCGGCAACCACCTTCGGACGATAGAAAGCGTTCAGACAGCAGTAGCAGTAGCAGCAGTAGCGGCAACTAGTGGGAGTCCGATGTCCATTTTTTCCCCTTGTAGAAGTCGGTAGATATGGTGTAGGCCATGATTTCCAGAAGCTGGTTGGGTTTACTGACTGACTGACTTGCACCCCATTTTAGAAGCGGGTGTTTTAAGTGATAGAAAATAATTCAAGATTGTTCTTACAGACAGATGCAGACTTTGGGCTTGTAACCGTTGCACACCTCGAGTTCTGCTTGTATAGAAATTTAATTAGGTGTACTTCTCTTTCTACGAAGTAGATTGCGGACCATAATCAGTTATGACAAATCAAATAAATCTGGTCATTTAGTTCCGTGGAACGCCTCACTCCAACGATCCCTTTCTTTTCTCTTTTTGACGCAAATCCGTGCCGTGGATTTTGTGCATGTGTCTGTTGGTACCTGTCGCTGCTACGGTGGTCTGCATATTTCTGTTTGCTTGTGAGGCGAGAGTCTAACTTGTTACTTTTCTATTGTGTCCGGTGGATTCGCGACATCGTGCTCTCTGTATGGAAAATACTCTGAAACTCTCTGATATCGTGAATTCTTGATGAAGATGTTGGTTCTCACAGCAGCAGCAGCGCCACTAGTCCTCCATATTCTATTGCGACACCTGTAAGCCGCTCAACTCTTCGTTTTTCTCTTAATGGCGAATTTAACTGTTACTGCCCCCTGGTCTTCTTGAAGAGCACGAGCCCATTCAAATCTCCGTCAGTCAAAACGTTTCGAGCTGTCTTAAAGAAGACTGATTATACACTGGGAGGGAGCTTTATTGGAACAGTGTATTTGAGCTTAATACTCGCACCCATGATCACATCGTGTTAACGGGGCCGATGCCGAAGGTGGTGTCGAAACGTCAGAGATGAGCCCATGCACAGGAGCCAGTCGCTACAGCTGAAAGGCCCCATGAAGAACAGGCTCCCCTCGTTGGTGGGTCGTTGGTTGACTCTTAACAATTCTGTGCCGCAGTGAACTTTTTCATCTGAAGGTTAGGGTAACTGTTCAAGAAGCGTCTTCACTTTACACGGTGGTCCACATTTCCCTCTTTCAGATTTGTCTTTTCTCTCACAAATGTCTCTCATTGAGCTCGGATTCGCCTTGCAATACACAAATCCTCCGGTAGACTGGTTGCGCCTGATATATGTCTCAAATCGTGGAGCAGTCCAGAAGACTAACACTCTGGCAGTGTTGTTTGTACACTACGTTAATTCCTCGCACTGAAGATCTTCCGGGATAGGGATCGGGGATAGGGGCGCTCCCCCTGTTCAGAAAAGGCCGGGGGGCTGACGACAGGTCCCTTCCACTGTTGGAAGAAGGTGGCCATGTCTGGGCCAGGCGTGGAGGGCTGCAGACGCCAGGATACAGAGAACTGCCTTCTACTCTCTCGAGGTTTTTGCTTAAGTTTAGGCTGAGGAATGTTTGCTTTCGTTTTACATGACGGATTCAGACGGAACACTTCCATTCGATCAAGTTGCACCCATCCTTCTTCATTTTTAGCCCTCCCAGATTCATTCTGTTTTTACCCAGCATTAGCATGCAAAGGAAGATTCGGATGGAAGTACAGCTCTCTGAGCTGCGGAAAAGCGTGAGGCACAGCGACGGTCCATGTGTAAACCTCTGAGCTTCATGTTCAACCAAGGAAAATGACGAACTCCAAGCCTTCTAGATGGTTTCTGATAACCTTAGATATTATGCACTCGAGATGCAAATCTCTGGGATTTGTGCAAAACCGATAAGTTCGAGCTTCAACGCACTGGAAATCTAATCAGTAGCACAGAAAAACGCATCATTAGGGATGGTTCTGGCGACGCGAGTGAATTCCGGCAGAAATTGCTGGAGTTGGCCCTTATCTCTTGACGGACTTCGGTGTCAATTAGTATCTGGCATCACTCCACCAATTTCTTAAACGACAAGTTGCACTCGATGGGAATACCGACCGGCTTCTGATTCTGCTGTCAAAACACTCACGACCCAGTGCATCCCTGTGATCCCACTTACTCCGCAATGATCATCCGTAGCTTCAGATGGGATCATCATCATTTCAGCAAGTGAAGCCCGGTGGAGTCTCGTCGCTTCCTGGATGATCATTCACACACGGAGCGTTTGACCCCCCGCATCAGACCCCTCCCTCTGCATTTCACCGAATATGGCCAACCAAGCTCCAGGTGAAAACAGACAGACTTTCCAGGAAAAGATTCACTCGGGGTGAACACGAAACGGAGTCACATGAAGTATTCCCTCATGTTGACTCATTTCATGTGAATACAGACAGCGATGCAGGCGAGATCACTGACAATGTACCTCGTAGCTCAACGTTCATGAGCTACGCGCTGCCTGCACAGACAGAAAGGTTTACTTTCTCTTTTCTCTGGATTCCTGAAATTGTTCCATTCTGTCTACACAATACCTTTGTGACGTCTTAACAGAATCCACGACATTTTTAGATCCTCTGCTCGTTTGTGCGGTACTTTAGGACCGAGTCATACTGAGATGGCCTAGTACTTTGGTGGCTCATGCCATGTGAGAGGAGGCTGACACTACCGTTGTTCAGAAGTCAAATCGGGTCAAGATGAGTCCTCACCAACAAATCTCAGTCTTTCCCATAAATAAAGATAAATTTAGATAAACTTTTGGCCATCGCTATTATTTCCGACTCTAGTAGCGGTGGCCAAACCCACGAGACTCACCCGGATGCAGGCCGGTAGAGTAACTAATGCATGGAGGTTGTCGAATGGACGCGCAATCTAATCGTCCTGCAATCGGTCCATTAAACTAGATGACTACGACGTACGAAATGCTGTGCCAGTAGTGGCATTTGCGTAGTGTGCATTATTCCTAGATTTTAATTTGTTCCAAGCACGATGTTGTTTTTGAAAAACCGGTGAGAGTAAGGTACGAAACGATAGGGACTTCTGAAAGCAGTACTGAAGTTGAAGGCCACGTTGAAGGATGGCATGCAACATCATACTTTCCAACTTCAACAGGATGACATTGACCTTCGGGGCGAGTCCAGATAGGTCACTATGCCATTGTTGAGGTTATTTCTCTGGAAAGGTTGCATATAAGTTGCATGTGGCAGTCATGTCGGAAGGAGGAAAGCATGCAGAGCGATAAAGCTGGTTATGGCATTGTCCCCAAACCATGGGGACATGCCCACTTACATGGTATCCAGCGACGCTGCCAGATCAAATGTCATGTCAGAGAGACCGGTGTAGGGTTCTAGGCGGAGGGAGCGTAAGGAGGAAAATGGGTGTGAACATGTCGGTCCTCCTCTTAAAACGATGCACCGTGTGTACATCACAAAGGTTGGAAGAGAACCTTCACCGAAGGACTAGTACACTTCTTCAAGAGTCGAGATCCATGCACATCAAACAAGAATCGCACAGGGAACCTCTGAAGAGCACGCGCACGCCATCCGATTCCATTCTAGGTTCCGGAAGAAGCTAGCGAGGGGTGACAACCATTTCATTTCACCAAATTCTTGCTCCTCCTTCTTGCTCTACGTCAATCCAGCAATGCAGCCAGATCATCACTCCAAGACTCGCGGGGTACGACGGTAGAGCCAGCAGACAGACCTTTCTCAAGAACACCTACCACCTCCCACATTTTCCGGCCATTCACGCTAACTGGCTCGATACTCACCGAGCCCATGCCAACAACTAACTCGCCCACGGTGGCCCGAGTCATATCCGAACCCGCAAAGGTGTGGGCACGCACATTCTTGACAGACGCAGCATCCAGACAGCCGCTGCTGCTGACTAGGCCGCCTAGGCAGGCAAGGGAGATGCCGAAATGAATATCAAACTCAACATCACACGAGCGAGTTCTCGGCACGAGATCGCGTTCCAATAATTATCGACTCCAAAAGTCTTCCAGCCTCCAGCTCCAAAAATACATTTACACCTCTCGTCACTCGAATTCAACACGGCTCAACCCAAAGGACCACCCATGCCCGCCAGCCAGCGAGCGAGCCAGCCCGGCTCCAGGTCGACAAGCGAATCGGTTCCGCGAGATGACAGAAACGAAGCGAGCGATCGAGCCAGAGAAGTGACGAGCGAGAGAGAGAGAGACAGGTCGTGTAATGCGTGTAAATGCAACGCGATGCGGTGGAATGTAATGAGCACATGACGACAGGGGCTCCGCGCATGTGGGCAGTGGGCCTCGCGTGCTGCTGCCGCGGCAGCCTGAAGGGCGCCGCGGTGACCACAAGTCGCACCCTCTCAAGCACTCAAACCTCTCACGCTCCGTCTCAGAGTCACGGTCTCCCGGTCTTATCTCTTCTCGTGTAACGTACCTGACAGCGGCGCGACAGCACCTCTCGAGAAGGGACGTCTGGTCTGGCCGACTGTACCTCCACTAACTGTAGCGTGGTTCGCCCAGCACTATACGTTGCAGTACGGCCCTACGACGTAACACTGACGTCCGCGTTCCCGTTCACACGTCTTATTTCCGACTCTGCTCCCGACGGGGAAAATTCTTTGACATGTAGTTGGTGATTCTCCCGCCGGGATGTTCAATTTCTGCCGAGAGTGGGTGTATAATACATGTCTCCAACACATTAATGCTTGCAATAAAATCTTGCCCTGAAACTTGTTTTCTAGACAAGTAGCACTGCATGACCTGGACTATCAATAGTCATTAAAGTAGAGGCGAATTATCATGAAGATGGAGTTGAAAGAACGCTTTGTCCAATGATGTAATTGGGTTTCACCTTAGAAATCAAATTTTGCAGTTGAAAAGAGCGTTCTCTGTCACACCAATGTATTTAAATATTACGAAATCAATTTGGGGGATAAGTTTCAATATGTGGGTAGAATAGTTCGAAATTCTTATCGCGTTCAAGCATCAACTCCGGGATTCATAGTATCCGAATATGTTATAAATTTAGATTATAAAAATTTTATGTTAAAACTTTATAAATAGGTCATCTGGTGGGAATTCTTCATTCTGCAAACTAGAAAAATATTACTCCTATAAAGAGGATTAATATTTTGAACCAATTGTTCTCGAGGCTTCTTCTTTTCTTTCTTGTTTTGGAAACATGAAGATATTTTCTTCTTCAGTCATACAGTTTCTTCGTATCTTGGTATTGCCCAGTCTTGTTTTGAGAGCTACCTACTACTTCCAGATCTGGAGGACGTCAGGAACTTCGCGTCGAAGATGTGCCTACTGAACTCCCGTTGGGACGTGCTGGCATTCACCAACACCTCCCGACGAGAGTGAAAGATGCAGCCAGTTCTATCTTCAGATTCCTAGTCGATGCCCAAAGGCCCAAGTTCCCAACCTTCTCGTGCAAGACATGTTTTCTCTGGTACCGGACAGGACAGGACTCAAGAGCACCTCGTAGGCTCCTACTCCGAGTCCTAAGGAGGAGACTCCTCCTAGTCCATCCAATCCAGTCCAGTCCTACTGCAGTCTGAGGTTAGGACCCGGACTGAACTTGATCTGCTGTTCAGACACAATAATTGTGTCCTTAATTCTGCTTATCTGGACTGATTAGTAGATTTCCACCTCAATCAGGTCATTGTTGTCCATGGACTTTTACTTGATTTCAGACAAGATGAATGACGTCCGATGCTTGCATTCTCTTTGCAGGATGCGCCTCGTGTCTAATACGATCTTGCCGGGTTTGTCTTCTTCTGGCAGGGCTGATTCATTTGGACATTCAGATGCAGAACCCTCAAGCAAATACATGTCTTCGTATCTCCAAACCATATCAACGCGGGAGATTGCGAGATAAATGTCTCTCCAGTCTTGTCTGCTTCTAAATTTGGAAGGGCGATATTTTAGCTCGTTCATGTTTCATGTTCTTACGGTTCATGGATCCAAACTTCCATGTTGTTTTGTCGTCCAGTGTTCCTCTCATTCCTTTAATTTAAGAGATGGCGGGAAAGACGTAGAGGGATTATGATTCTATTAACTTATTCCAAGTAAATATTTTATTCAATGAGCCCTACACAGAAAATTGTCAGATGTTAGGCCCTATGTGGTGTCACACTCTGGGTTTCGCATGTAAGTAAGTTCAGTTCAGAAGTGCAGTACCTGTCCTAACATCACTCATGGGGTAAACAGAATCGAATAAACGTGCCCATGGGATAAACTTCCACTCACCATATATAGAAACTCAATGTATTAATACAAACGTGAAGAATAAATGATTGTGGAGCATGTATCATTGTAATGTATGGTTGAATTTTTAGGGATTTTATACCGTGAATGTGATTTCTAGGTTCATTTTGACGTTTTTTCAAGGTGTCATTTGTACTTTTTTCTGCTATTCGTACTCATGAAAACACTATGGAAGTGATAAGAAAAGTAAACTAGATTCTCATAGAATATTTTTTACAAATTGCATGAAATACCTAAGTCGTTCCAAGAAAAAGTATATACATCAATTAGAATTTTGATGCACTTCATATTTTTCTAACAAAATAATGAATAGAGATCAAGTTATGTCAAACCATTTTTTATCATGGATCGATATACAGTTAATATGCATAATATGACTTGTTGTGTGATCGAAAACAAAAAAACATGCATATAAAAGCAATATTTTATTTGATGATTTTTTGGAAATAATCATGTTTCAAATAGGTTCAATAGCATGTATATTTTAATGAAAGGTTCATCTTGATTGCATTTATACAACGATAATGTTAACACACAATCTAAAATATACTAGAGAGTAAGTTAGAGAAAATGATATTTCATATAACATAGTAAAATAGTATGTCATACATTCATTCACATTAAAATTCAATTTTGACATTTGCCATCACAATTGCATTTGAAAAATATGCTAGGTTTTAAGGGGATAATTTTTCAGCATGATTGTATATTTCAAAATTTTGAATCTTTTTTTTAATAGATATTGAATAGATAATCAATTAACTTATAATTTCTATTATGTGTAGAGTCCATGTTGTCGCTTATTAAAAAAAATTATTGAGAAATTATGATTTAATTAATTTTCTATTCAATTACCTAGAAAGTGATCTATTGTAAACTCATAATTTCTATTATGTGCAGAATCCATGTTGTCACATCCTGAACAATATTTTTTTTTCTCAAATAAAAAATAGATCGTTATGCACCTTTATAGACTGCATCACATATCATATTTTAATTTACTTGATGTATTATGCAACAACAAATATCATATTTGTAATGACATTCATTGATCATCGTTCCTTTTAATCAAGAAGGTCTAGATCTATTTTATGAGGAAATTGTATATGTTGAGGTTCATATAATACCACAGCTTTTAGTGTTTTATAATTTACTTCTAAATGACAGCACTAAAAAAAATAAAATATATATCTATTTTTTTTCATTCTGTTGAAAAGTGATAGGAGACGAGCCGAAATGGTTGAGAAAAAACTCCATTACAGAGAACCCTTCTTTCTCAGCCGGCGAAGTGCGCGGAAATCGTGAAGCCAGAGTATATCATATTTTTCAAGTGAATATCGATGCAAATGAATACTACTCAATACAGACGAGTAAATTTTTTAAGCTGAGCAATGTGGATGGGTCAAATTCACAAAGAGTCTAATCGCTATAGGAAAAAAATATCTGATGTAAATGGAAAAAACTCTAATGCATATTTACACCAGAAAACTGTGACGCTACTGGAGCAAAAGTGCAAGCAATTTTTTGTAAATCTTAGAACTGGTGGGATTTACTATGGATGAATTTAAGATGTATTGAAATTCTTAATCTATGAAAGTAAACCCTGATCCTTCAGCAGTATTTGTTGATAATGAAGACAAAGATGAAAAATCAAAACTAGCTAAATCCTCTTCATTAAATTTGAGGGTTTGAAATGCATGATATCAACATCAGAGATAATTATTTATAAATTCAATAGATAATAATTCTTAATGAACCAAAACCTGAATCCAAGAGATATCTAAATCATTATCAGGCTTTTAAGTATGTGGTAAAAGATCAAACTTGTTGGAAAAAGCCATTAATATAACAATAGCAATCACATCCACTATATACTACTGGAGCATGTGAACACTGAACTTGTTTATTTATATTCGGTACTGAAAACCTGAACGTTATGTCATGTGATACTTATATGGAAGATAAATCTCAATCAAATAAAATACCACAAAACTTATCGTGATACTGTGAGGGTATGGTCCCTAGTTTCGTTCTATCTCTGCACAGCATGTCGGGGTCTTACTATTTATTGTCTATACACATGACCCGTCCAAAATTATCGTACTGGTGCACCATGTATTCTTGATCGAAGCGTTTAATACAAGATCCCAAGTACCAGCTGCTGCAAGGATTAGACCCTCCCGCCCAAATCAATGTGATTGTTGGATCTTGGATCCGCCGTTCCGAAATATATGTGGCTGTTGTCATCTATCTTGACGCACCCGCCTTCTTGAGCAAGGAAGCGTAAATTCAGTCTACGAGTTTCTGCAATAAAATCAGAATTACGAAACCATTTTGAGGCGTGCCATGTTTAAAACGGTGGCGTTATAGCGGGAAGAAACCCATCTGTCTTGCGAGTTGGGCATGGTCGCAAGCGAGCCACTTTGATTATTCCGTGTCCATGGTTCCGAAGATCGACGCACGGCAAATCCATGGCGACGAGGATCTCGTCGAAGCAGTTTGGAGAATGAAGAAGAAAGAAACAAAAATTGGTGTCATTCCAGTTCAACCGATTTCCTTGTCATCTGCACATGTCTCTCGCTCTCTTCTTCTCAACTCTTTTCGTTCCCTCATTCTTTCCGCGTCTCAATCTTAATCTTGCTTACAAATTTTCACCACATTTATCTTGACAAAAGAGAGGTTGACAGTGACAGGATAATAGGTTTTATGTAGACCTCTCCTAAACCAGCAGCCATTGTTACTATATGTCATGGCGTATAGTATACAGTAATGACAACTGTTAGGGACAAGGTTCTGAAAGGTCAGGGCAGATGGTAGATATTCAGTTTTATAAGTTTTAAAACAAGAAAGACACAATCACAATTCTTGAATATTTTCGGAGGTTTTGGTCCTTTGGATGCTGCACGACCAATACCATACAGCATCAAAGATGCCAGAGGACCAAAACCAACGGACTGTGAATAATACCTGTATTATTTTCCCATACGATGACACAAAGTTGGAGACACAGAGCTCTGATTCGTACCCTTTATCATCGTGATCTATTCTCAGAGCTGCATCGGTGAATTTGCACCCATGAAGATCGAATTTCTTCGCTACGTGTGATAAGATTTATCGGTCACTCCATCAACAAATAAGAAGCCTTCCAGTGGATTCTTCTGCACGACAAGAGTACTGCAAGACAACTTTAAACTGAATGACATCCAACTGACATCGACAAACACTTGAAAGGTTCAATTCTTACTGATTCCCAGTGTCAAACGCAATCATTAGAAAGATACTCCACTTGGGCTTCGTCTTCAACATCTCTTGATCGGTAAGTTAAAACTGTCATGTTCTCGGGCTTTACATTGTGGTTCTGTCGAACAAATTCCCGCAAACATAAAGAGGATCTGAAGATTACAGTCTCTCTGATCCGCTCAATTGACAGGAAATTACGGACGAACTATGAGGGTTGTGAAGTGCATCTAGTGTTGAGTCCGTCACAGTTGGCGAGGACTTCATCGTCGTGAAAATTCGTTAATACGTTGGGCGTTGGGGAGTGTGACGAGAACAAGGCGATTTTTGTGATGTTTCAAATAAATGCATGAAGATTGCTCGACACCATTCGGTTTAAGCTGAGGGGAGTGCGTCGTGAAGTTTCGCATGGATAGGGCTTTGGCGCCCATACAAACACCGTGTTGTTCATTCCTGGGAGACTTTAGGCATTCTCAGTGACACAGAAACTTCCAAAGCTTTCTACTCCAAAACTTCACCTTGCAAACGATCAACACTTCATCCACACGCGTGTGCATCCAAGGGCATTCACCCTCCGCATTGGATGCAACCTCCTGTTGCATTTCCAACTTCCATGGAAGCTCAATTGGTGAAAAAAATGGTTAGCACTCAGTTCAGGCGTGTAAATCGATATTCTACTCTCAGTTTCCTATCCAAATATAGATCCAGCCTGATGCGCATGCTCTACCTTCAAAATCCTGTCTTTCTGATCGGTGACAGAAATCCTTGTCGATTGGTTTGTCCACTGAACCTGTACTGTGTCTCATCACGGGTAACAGATGAGGCACCAGTGACTGCAGAGTGTGTTGTTTGAAAGTCAAAATAATGGTCTCGGGCTTAGAGATGCGCATGCTGTTGCCTGAGATAGAATCACAACATAGATTTAGGTCCAATTCGAGTGGCTGACACACTGAGAACAAGCGCGTAGTACTCCGATTGAAGCATGCAGGAGTTTGCAGCGGGGCCAGAATCGCGACAGTAGACGAGGGAAACTTCATACAACGGACAAGATTTTTCCACAGTATTGGCTTTGTCCACACTCTGGAGACAACAGCATCTACATCGAAGGTTCGGAACATGCAGAAGTTGCTTGTAACGTTTCTGCAGGCCAATGGGTCCATGGAGACCTGACCTCAACGTGGCCATGCATTCATCTCTTGTACAAGAGTTTCATGCCATACCGAAAACTCTTGTGAACAGCAATTTCCTGCACAGATTTTATCAGACGAACGATCTGTAACGATCTTCTTGTCTCCGATTATCCACAGACGCTACCCGGTGGAGTACGAATTGCAGACGATGATAAGTCTTACATCTGCAGTGAAACGAAGTCATCTGTTGCTGCGGTCAGTCGATGGATCCTGACCTGTACTTGACCATGAAACAGCAGGCGCGCGAAATTGAATCTTCTTCTAGAAGACCAAATTTTGAAAAGTGTACTTTGAAACCTTCCCCAGCTACCTGTGTCTTCAGATGTATTGTAGAAATCCCTTCAAAGTTCTATCCGGTTCCTTCCCACGTCCAGTACTGTCCGGCCCTGTAAGTTGCGAGGCACAGGTTCAGAGCTCTAACTACTTTTGAGGAGACAAGTCAGTAAGAGATGAGCTACCATAAGTTGATGAAGTTGTGTACAAGAACAACACACGTTTGCAAAGGTAGAGCCACACTAGAGCAGCCGAGTCAGAACAACAATGTATATTTATAACGAGTTTGTTATAAAGTATATGAAAACAACGAGCGGAGTAACTGCCATCCAGAGAGCACTTCTACGTGACTTTGTCACATAGCGTAGAGGATAGAAGGGAACCGTGAATGATGTCTGCAATAGAAGAGTATAGACATAGGATAAAAGATAGTGTACAAATGGTGAATTTTGCGATCCACTTATTGACCGATGCCAAACGGAGAACGGTCAGATAAGTAGATTATCGAGTAATCAAGGAGCACCTCTCAATTATTCGCCTTTCCAGGCATATCCTACTATGGTACATTGATTGAATCGCAGAACCGGGACAAGTACGGCACACTTCAGTTTCGTCTGCCTCTACCAGGTCCTCTCGGTTTGTTAGAAGTTCCATAAGGCACGCCTCGCACGTAATACGCATGGCTGCCAGCACTACGCTCTTTCTCGGTGGCCTGGCCAAGTATGTAATTTATGTTTTGTGGGTATCAGAACCTTCACGAAGTGTGAACAAAAACTTGGGGGTATCTGCAAAAAACTCAGTGGAGAGTTGAAAAATTGATGAGTGCAAGGATTAGTACTACTCACTTCAGTATACATGCCGATGTACATACAGTCTAGTATTTTAACCGGTGTAGCGACCTGGGTGGCTGTTGGGCGATCCCACGGCATCCGGTTACATATACTCTAGGTTGACGCAAGATCTCTATCAGATATGGTGTATTCGCCAGAGGACGACTATTTTCCAAGACCTTGCTCCATCGGTGCTTACTTAGGCCATCGAACCCTCGAGACATGTCGTTTACGAATGCTGTCTGTGGCACCTTCGAATGCTGAACTGTCTTCCTCTTTGGCGCCCAGAGGCCTCTCCGACCTGAGCACTTGGCACCTAGTCCCATCACGGCCTTATCAGGGACAGTCAAAGTAAGAGATACAAACATAAACACAGCCACGCATTTCATTCCCTGGCGGCCTTCCGTGTTACTTCATCGACAGACGTCGAGACGCAGTTCTCCTGCTAGCGCAGTCCAAATCCCCTCCCCAATTCCTTTTCTGAACCCACCGCAGCATTGGCCGACAAGAACTCATTGCCCTGATTTTGAAGAGGTCGGAAGCTCGCCGAGCAGCAGGGGGTCACCTTCAAGGCATTGACAAGCTGTGTCCGGGCAAGAAAGTTCTGTTGTTGCTGGAGCAGACGAAATTGAAGGTCCCCTTGCTGCTGCTGATGCCTCGAGGCACATACTGGAGGTTAGAATACAGATATTTGAAGTGACAGTGGTATACCTCCCATGTCAAGCCATTACGGGTGTGATCATTGGTTACGACTGTCTGCCTTTAAGTCGCTCCATAACCTCTGTTGTTGGAGGTAGGGGTCGAGGGGTAACACAAGACAAGACCAGGTTGAGGCTCGACGAGTGTTATGAACAAGCCATGACCGGTCCTGACATCATGAGTGGAAATGCGGTTGCAAGTCCACCATGACGAGGTCATGGTTCGAGGTGCCCCGCGAGGGCACAACTAAATAGGACCCCGGAATGAAGTCGAAAGGTAGCTTTTGCGACCCCAGTATGTAATCTACTCTCGTTCCGTTTTGGCACGTCCCTTGAACTTCTGCACATCAGAAGACAAAACCTGTGAGAACGTTATTCTCAGCCTGCAAATGACAACGAAATTAATAGACAGACGATCAATGTCAACATCCAAAGCAGGGGAGAGGTCCTGCACTTCAGAAAGTGGGTCTGCAACGAGGGCTTATCAGCAACTTGGGATCTGAGAGCAAACATAGAGCTCGACGAAAATTGACACTGAATCCGGGTTAGATACCATTTCGAGCAGCTCGCGTTGCAGACAGCAATTCTTGTCCGCTATGAGGTAATATCAAGCCTTTTTCCATCATTAATGCCATACTCCCAAGGCTTCTTAGCTTAATGAGTGCAGTTGAACCGGATTCATATTTCTCGGCGAGGAAGTTGATGATATTACGGAAGGTTCCTACATGCTGTGGGAAGGGTGGGAAATGATTGAACTAGGTCAAGAACCGCAAAACTAGGCCCTGCTTTGGAGTCCAGTGAGCAGCAAGAGGATTCATAGTAGTCACGCTTTTCTACATTTCATACATCACCGACGCATTAGCATCTCCGTTCTTCCGGCTCACACTCCGCACCTGAAAGAGAAGGAAATGGGATGGAAACTTGCTTACCCTCCTTGATTTGATGCGATTTCGTAGGACTTGATCCAAGGGCGAAATCCTTTGCATCCGAGTAGCGCTTTTCCTGAAAAAGCCTCTTCATGACGTCGCCTCTGGGAAGGACCTTATTGTTCTTCTTTCGAAACTGCGAGCAAAAGAAAGAGCATTAGCCTCCATGATTTCCAGGCCACATCAGCTGGAGCGGCAACAACTAAGGCATATGGAAAGATGGTGCGTGTTCAGTACGCGCATTACGACAACTTCAGGATGTTCTGACAATGACTTCGACCCTAAGATCTGACTGAAAATCGATCGCTCGCTCCTGCAAGCCATTGATGAGGTTTCTAGGGTCTCATCCTGCTCAAAACAATAATGAAGATCGACGTACAAATAGGACGAACGATGGCGCCACCAAAGACCGAAGGCTGACGCTTCGCTTTTGACTAACTCGACCCAATTCTCTTATTTCGCCTCTTCACGACACTAGCTACGTTCTTTACCATGTCCAAAGTTTCAGGCTACATTAATTCCTACATATTCCCCTTCGTATGTATGTGAGCTTGCATCCGAAGAATTCTACACATGAAGTGGGAAAGTCGATCACGAGAATGAACGGACGTGTTCTTGCTTCTGTATGTCTTGCCTTTTATCAAAAGGAAAGCAACCAAAACAACAGCGTTCACGTCGTTGTGGCCCATTGCTTTTCCCCGGCTGGAACGTGTAAGGTGACTAGCGACAGAGACGCAAGATTACAGGGATTGGACTTCGCGGCAGCTGCGCTCACGTAGTACCGTACAATCAAAACTCGTGGCCGAAAGACGAATGCAGAAAGAGACACGAGACCTAGTTCCAAATTGAGTTCCGACCATCACTCGAACATGCGACAATTTTAGAAAATAGGCCTCGTCTCCTCCGATAAGGGAATCCAGCTGCAGATGGGCGGAGAACGCGAAGCGTAGCACTGGACGGAACAAGAATTAGAATGAGGCGTGAAGCATTCGATGGATAATCTGGTTTCTTCGTGTGAGTCGCTGAATCGGAATATCTTTGGGTGTGATCGCCAGCATTTCGTTCTGTAAGGCGTGACTGACTGACAGACTCAACGCGAAACCTTCAAGAAGAGGGGAGGCAGAAAAATCACCTCCGCGATCTCCTCCCAGCGTTCTTTCGAGTAGTCTGACTGGTTGAGGGCGTTGAGGTTTCCGGTGAGGATGTGCGGTTGATTCGGAGGCACCATGCTCGTCAAAGAGTCGATTTGTTTCATGCGCCAGTCTTCGTCCAGATGGTCGAGTTGAGTGCAGTAGAAGTGAAGGTCACCGGCGAGAGGTACCGAAACCACAACCTTCAGAACGTTCCTGTTGCACCACGACCTTCGTCAGATAAGGACCATCTTGATCTTAAAGAAGTGGACAGACATTCAATCGACAGAAGTCCTCATTCCAATAGAAGCTTCCAAGGCACCAGCCACCTGGAATCCCGTAGGACTACGCGCAGAGAACAAAACAGGGCACCAATCCTTCCTGAAACGAAAAGACTGCGCACGACCTACACGCCCGATATCATGACTAAGATGCGCTTCTCACCCATTCAAATTTGTACAGACGATGCTAAGAATCAATACTATCGGAAGATAGTGAGGATAATCCTGCGCTTGATAGCTGGTATATCTCATTATGAACCCGACGTACTCGGATAACAGGGTAGATAGCGACATATATGATCCACCGCAAATCGAAGTAAGATTCAATTGCACGAGGTGACATAAATGTCCTTGTCGAGTGCGGGACGATCGATTCTTGGGTGTAGATCGAATGTGAAAAATTTGCAGTCGTCAAGGGCCCACGTAGGAGAATACTTCAGAAGGGAAACGAGCGCTGATTCGGCAGACCAGAACAGAGCCAAGAGAGACGAGCATCTAGTGAAGCCACCGAATAAGAATAAACTTCCCAGATCTTCTTGTAGCCCCCACGATCATTGCTTCGAAGAGGAGGGAGCAAAGGTTGGCAAGAAACGGCAATAGACTAAGAGCTTGAAATTGGGAAAGAAGAGAAAGCCGAAGCAGGATTAGAAGACCTCACCTGTAATCCGTGTCGTCATGAATTTGTTGAACGGAAGCACTTTTGATGGGCCACCGGGAGAGAACTGCGTTTCCGAAATCCGGAGCCCAGCTTTCGGCATACGCATACTCCATGCCCAGCGCTTCCGCGAGCTCTGACAGGGGCTTCATTCCGCGCTCTTCCTCCGCTCTCACCTCCTGGAGAGCAATGATGTCGGCATCTACCTCAAGCAGTATGTCCAAAATCGACAAATAGTTCGCTCCCAACGACGCAGGATCACCGCCCTCCTTGGACGACAAATTTGGGCTGCAAGGCGACGCTACCGTCGAGGTCAAGGCGGAATTGGAAACGAAATTGCCATCCTGAGGGGAAACCGAGCTCGAGAGCTCAGTCGGGCTGGACGACGCCGCGGAAGGCGAAGTGTCGGCGAACTGGACTCCATCGAACGGAGCGGCAGCGACCCTCTCCGGACTCTTGTCGCCCGACGATGGGATCGGCTCCGACAGCAGCAACGGGGTAGGCGACGAGAAGCAAGAGAGCACCTTCTCATTCGCAGGGCTCCCGACGGGAGTGTAGCAGGCGAGAGCGAGCTGATCGGGAGTGCTCGCGGCAGCTGCAGCGGATTGAAGTCCCGAAGGATCACTGGCCTGGCAGGAAGCTTGGCTGCTGAAAAGGCTCGGCAGAGAATCGGCAAAGCACTGGGAGCTGTCGCTGGAGAGGCTGAAGACGGGATTCAGCTTCGAGTGGTAGAAGGGGCCGTGGATGCCACTGCTGCTGCGCCCGCTGCCGGGCTTGAAATGGCAGATGGCACGCGTCTTGGCGGCCAGCGGGCTGGCCCTCCAGGCCTTGCGGATGTCGAAGGCGGCCTGCTTCACCGGGGACACTTTGGGGACGATCAGAGCGCAGGGGTTGAGCACGGGGAAGCTCTGAGTCGGCTTGGACGAGAGGTGGGACAGCACCGCGCAGGTCTCAGCGGAATCCGAGCTCTCGCGAGAATTCGAGAAGAAGGTCATCCCGGAGCTGGCCTCGCTGGACGTGGATTTGGACTTGCACGAGAAGATGGACGACTCGCTCGATAAGTAGTGTGCGGGGGTGGACTGGAATTGGTCGGGGGCTGCGGCAGCGCACGGGTGGTCGGCGGGGATGGCCGGCGCCAGGTTGAACAGAGCCACGTCGAACGTCGCGAGTCGAATTGTCGGGCCTTCCTTGTCGGCGTGCATGTTCCAGAGCTCGCCGTTGCCGCTGCCATTCCCGCTGTCCAATCCTTCGTCCTTCTCCCAGAAGCTCACGTCGCTCAGCAATCTCTCGCGCCCGCGCTGCTTTTCGCCCTCGGTCAGCAGCCCCACGGGCCTGCCTCCCTCGCCGACCGCGTAATTCTGGCAAAGCAAGGACTCGCATTCGCGATTGTCCATGACAGTGTAGATGAGCTTCGGCATGTCCTTCTTGGGCTTGAAGCACGACGGAATCTGATCTATTTTTTGCTCGAATCTGTGGCGGAACTTCTTCAGCCGCCCGCGCACTTTCTCCATCTTTGCTTGCAAGGTGAGCCGCGCAGTGTCTCGCGTCTGCGCTAGAAATGCGTTTTGCAACTCTCGGGAGGTAGTACTGGAAGCCATCTTCCCATTCTCCAGTGTGGAGGAACTAAATCTCTCGCAGCTCCACAGAATGTGTGGAAGATTATCAATCAATCGGTCAAAATTTCTAGCCTACTGGATCTCGACTCGTTACCAAAAATTCCTCCACTCAAGTTCTCTGCTATGACGACATTGCTTACATTTTTACTACTCCTCGTGATACCGTCGTCTGGGCTTCACGAACTCGCTGCCTGATCTGAGATTCGCAGGGGGGACGAGATTGATCCGAGCTATCCTCCAGTCTTCTCATTCCCTGCACCTTCCACCCTCGAAGACGCATGGACGTACGAAAGTCAAATCGTCCAGAATTCAGACGATAAGAATGCCGAAAGAATCAGACGTGACACCACCCTCGAGGTGATGAGCCAGCAGCTATCTGTTCAATCCACTTCCACCTCAATCTACTGGAACAGGGAGCGTCCTACTTTGTTCAAAAATCCACTTGCGCCCACAACTTGGCGACTCCCCTGAGGCAGAGACCTCGACGACGACAATCTCCCCACCTTCACTGGACTCGGTTGGTGCCGACAAGTCTCAACGGTTGACCGTCATGGCCAATTACATGGGTCCCTGGGTGATCCATCTCGACGCTGACATTTTCCACTCCGATTACGTCCTCCTCCTGGGGCGACTACTATTCACCGTCGCCAACACAGGCGGCATCAGCTTGACTTTCTCTTCGTCGGGTTCCCTGGCTGAAGTGGACGAGAGTGAAGGCTTTCCTTCTGCGGTCTGTCCGTCGACTATTCCTCCGAGGAAGTTTGGGCTGCTCCTGGGCTGGGCTGGGCTGGGCTGAAGATTGATTGATGTTCTCGTTGTTGAAGTCCTTGAGAGTTTACGAAGGGCTGGCTGGAGAGCTAGCTACATACATTCTCCTGGCTGTCGGCAGCTGCTGGAGCGCGTTGAAGCTTTTGGGGGCATGAGTGGCACCAATGGCAATCTATAGCTTGCCTGAAATGCTTGGGCTGTGGAAATGCCTCGCGAGGATGACTAGACAATATCTGGGAATCGCTCGCAGATTTCTCTCCCGCGGGTCCACGCTCCTCCACTTCATCCCCGATAATAATGAGCGAATCCTGGCCAAAAAGTCTACGGGGAGCCAATTCAACTACCGATACACTTGCCGATCCAATCTGGACTCGAGAAATCTCAACACGAAGACACAGTGCGGGAGAGAGAGTGGGTGAAAAGGCCTCGGGCAGGCGGCGAGCAGGCAGGAACTACTCAATGAGTACAATCTCTCTTTGCGTGGGTAAGTAGCCGAAAGGCTGGAGCAGGCTGCAAACAGCAGGCACTGCCCTTCGAGTGCAATCTGTGTGTGTGTTTGTGTGAGGGTCCGTGTGTGCAAGCGTGTATGCTGCCAATGATTCTGATTTCACAATTTGCGCGATGGGGGAGTACAATGTAAGAGCCGCTCTCACTCACAGCTTAGATCCACACATCCACTCGTCAGTTGCTGAGCTGCGTAGAGTGCACCGCACTGCTCTCCCGACACCGCCCCGCTCGCTCACTCACTCTCGCCTCGAATCCCCCTCCTACTCCCTGTGAACAGATTCTTCTATCTCCAAAATCTTCTCACCTGTCCCATTCCCCCTTCACTTCTCTCCCACTGATGACCACATCTCTCCGTTGATCTGCTGCAGCCCCGCATGAACGAACCCACACACAAATCCACCTCCACGGCGACCAACTCGCCTTCGCTCAACTCCTCTTCTCCCTTCACTTCGCCCTCCACTCCTCGCCTCGCTGACCTCACCTCGAACACTTCACCGGACCTTCCTCGTCCTTCTCTCCCGCAGAGGAAAGAAGAATACGCCGGGGATCAGTTCAGTTTCCAGGCTCCGGGCTCTACACATTTCTCCGTCTAATCTCGGCCCGTAGGCCGCCCCCTCCTCTCCCCATCCTGCTGCTGCTGCCGCTGCTAGCCCTACGCCTGCTGCCTGCCGATGCTTCTTCTCCTGGCCCTTTGCCATGCCCGCCCGCCCGCCTGCCTGCCTTCATGACGATGCTCACATCAGCCGATGACTGCGCTTGTACCCCTGTGCTGCCGGGCTGACCCCATAGCATCCGTCTAGCTACCGCATCCATCCGCGAGTGACTCTGCGACCGAGCGAGTCCATCAATGCTGCCACCGGAGATCAGCATCCCAGACAGGAAAGCGGCACACCGCCACCGTGGCGCCCCGCCACGCATGCACAGGGTACCCCCTCTGTCGCCCGCCGACCGTATCACCGCCACCGTGGCCACTTTCTCTAAACGTTATTACTGATGCCTTCTCGCCTTGCTCTCGCTTTGATTTGCGCTCGTTCACGAGCGTGTAATCTATTCTTGGATCCATCGGCCCCGAGCAACTGGTGCGAGCATTCGCTCCACGTACCATAAATGGATTTAGCAAATGACATTAGGCAGTTTCTTGGATGGGTCCTTGATTTAATTTCGTGTTTAAGTGTCGTTAAGTTTGACTTCGCGATGTGGTTCCCAAGAGTTTGGGTAGCTCGTAATTTTGACCTTGCCTTCATTTTGTCTTTAACTGCGCGGCGGAAAAGACAAGGTGGGGGACGTAACTAGCAGCGAGCGGAAAGCAAATTCTGGTTGTGTCTTGTGTGGGACATTAAGAAAGAGGAGGGAACTCAGGGGGGTTGTGTATGTAGCCTGTAGGGGTTTTACAGAGACCTGAAGCATTTGTTTGCACCGGCGTTTGAAGTACTGAGTGCAAGAAGGATGGGAGGACATACAGGTAACACCAGAGATGGATGTGGTTGATGTCCCGTGAAAATTAGCGACCAGGAATATTGGCAAGAGGCCATGGACGACCAGGAGCCGCATGCAAGATTCCCTCCCTAAGCTGTCACCATCACTTGCAGATGTGAGTGCCACTTGTTCCAACTCCACTGCTTCTTGCGAGTCCAGCTTCTGTTGATATCCGGTTTTCGTGATCCACACTGGCCATTCAACCCTAGCATGCTGAACACCAACAGATAATTCTGTTGGTCTCCACTTGACTACCTCTGGAACATTACTTGCATTGCATTTTTGGTGTGGACTGGCTATTTGGTACAACTTGTTGGAAAGGGGCAAAGTATGTCAAGACACTCCTTACGTACATGGAGGGGTACATGTATCGAGCTACGCGAGAGATTGACCGGCTAGAACGAGGCCCATCATTCCGAAAGGGGCTGCGAATTGCTCTATATTTTCCAGGCTATACATTTTAGACTGAAGTAGGCCGTAATATAATTGATCTCCGGTACAAAATAAATCCCCAAGCCTGCATACACGAACGAGAGGCCATTCTGCAATCGCCGGGGTATCCAAAGCTCCACTGCTCCTTTGTCCACCAACCCGCAATTATCAAACAAGTGCAGTACTGTCATTCTTCCATAGCCCTCCTCCCTCAAGACGTCAAGTTCGCTTCAGATATACTAGGTCAATTATACCCGCTTCAAATGTTTTCTGGAGTCAATTAACTACTCTACTCTACGTTCTACATACATCACAACCGATTTCTAGGATCACGCAGGGATCTGCAACTGCGTTGATATTACTAGGTGGATATCGTCCGTCATGCCGGATTCAGTGCAGTCTTACATTGATGGTCCATCTGCTATACCTTTTGGGTCACATCTCGTACCTTAGATGTGCCCTCTAGAACCTGCAAGTAGAGCAGGCATAATGAGTAAACGTCGCCCCCGGTGAGTTATGTGAGTACCTTTGCGCAAATTTTCAAACACGGCTTCCAGTGCTTTGAAAATGTTGGCAACCCCATCTAATGCCTTGCAAAAGGGCTGTGCCCTGCAAAGATGAACATTTATATCCAAAAGTGATGCCTATAGCACTCCAGTGCAGTGCAGACTTCTCTGATTCGACCTCCACTACGATCAGCAGTAAACAAGAGTTCAAGAGCCCAACCGAAAATATTCATAAAAATTGTCTCAAAGCCTTTCAACGTGATTCTTCACAGGAAGGTCTTTTGACCTGGTGATCGGGTGCCCGGTGGACTGGTCGTCTGCGTGCCAAAACATGTCCCGGCTGGGATCCTCGAATTGAAAGGAGTGCTGCTTACAGTCACTGGGAGAAGAACAAAACCGGTTGAACCGGGCCGCACGTCGTACCGCAGTTCGTCGACGTCATCCAGTGTCGTAGGACCTGGGCCGGTGAATAAATCTCTGTCCAGGATTCCTTTACTCACAGCAGAACGTGCAGCTCACTGTCGAACCACGACGAATATACTGCCGTCGTTCTTGAAACGGTCGGGACGGAGAGAACCGGGGACGCTACTGCAGCCCGGTCCGGACATGAACGGCCACAAGCGGCAGCCCGTCGCAGTCGTCGTCGTCGTCGGGACGACATAACACGACGGAGGAAGCAGTGAGACGGAAGTAAAGGGCATGATGACAAGCGCGACGGCGGCTCTTAATATTCTTGTTAGCAAGCGAACTGCCTTCGCCATGGCAATTACATCCATTAATCCGTCTTCGTTGAACAGCGCCTCCGTGTTTGGCGTTATGTCTGTCAGGACGGACAAGAGGCGACGTCTTTCGTCTTCATTTCCTTCCATGTTGGTTATTGTATAATCATTACATCATGTGTATTATTGGATGTATCCATCCCCTTTATCCATGCCATGCCATGCCGGCATAGGAGCTGTACACGTACGAATATAACATCTCTCAAGACAAGAAAAATGAGTAATATAGGCCAAAAAAATGGGAAGACCCCATACAACATCAAGTTCAGAGTTTTGTTTTATTCATGATAGATATTAGAATGCTACTGGAACAGAGGATATTGGGGGCAATGTCCTGTCAAGTATTGTAAACTGGCATGCTTTTCCCTCCTTTGCTTGCGCGTTGGAATATATTTGAAGTACAAAACTAAGAAATTCCTCCCTCCATACTTCAATTTGATGATCTACAACTGCAACTGGTAAATAGGGGGAATTTAGCTCTCTTAGAAAGAATACTTACCTAGAACTGCGCATTTTGGCACTTTTCGTATCTGGCATCTGGTTTGTTGAGTGGCACTCACCAAACCAGATGCCAATATCAAAAACTCTTATACTGAGAATTGCAGGTTCATGAAGGTCTTGAATTGTTTGCTAATTTACAATTTCTTGATCATAGGCCTCTGGTTTGGGGTAGGCACATCAAGTTTGTTCGTCTAAGTGTAGACTAGTTTCTGTTCTATTTTTTACCAAATGATTCATAAGCATAGGAACTATCTCAGCCCTTATAGATTTCCTGCAGTAGTTTATCTTGTTTAAAACAATTTTGCCAGATCCATAACCATGATGTTTTGCTGCTGCAGAGTTCATCATGTCACTCGTTTCCTGGGATATCCAGACAATAGAATTGTTTCTCATGTAATTGAAATAAATATTGCTCAAATTCATCAATACTGAACTGATTTTTCTTGCAGGGTTGTTTGTCACAACCTTCCCTAGTCTTTGGAATAGTTATGAACTACAACTATTTCACCTTCTTACAGTCATCTGAGAGACAGATAATTGTCAACCTTCACATCTAACTATTGTGGAAAAAGTATTTGAAACACCACAAAACTTGTGTGCTTCAAATAATCCTTCCATGTTAGCTCATTCGTCTTTGGATATTCACTCGAATCTCAAGGTAGTAGATGGGTAAATTACGGTACAGTATTCACGTCTTAGTGCTAACCACGTTGAAGTCAATATTACCAAAGTCATGTCAACAAACGGATGAGCCGACTTCTCAACATACACACTTCAGTTAATGGGGCTTCAGCGACCATAGCTGCACCTGGAGAATTTGTCTATCCCTTTGCACACTACATGACCCTTCAATCAGTACTGTACCCAAGAGCATGTGAGGTCATCAGAAGATAAAAGAGCTTTACTTGAGTCCAAATTGAGCTCTCAGAACAGCACAATTTACGTATAATATTATATGTCCTCTGCAGATTCCACAGTTTGCTCTATCAAAGATGAAACTTCATCTAGGTTGAGATACTGGACCTGAACCCGAAGCATTTGCTGAGAAGCATGAATTAATGAATATGACACATATTATAGAAGGTCTGCAATTTGACCTTCCAGTAATACTGGTACCTGAATGTTGAAACTAGAAGCAAAACTTTAAATGTTGTGGGGAGGGTTTACAGTAGCTGGACAAATCATGGTGGCATCATTAATCTATATAAGAAACTGTCACTCTTCCACCTTCACGTCTTCTTCTGCCAGATTAGCTCTTAATCCCCACAACAATTCTAGTGTAGCTGACAAGCTACTAAATGCGATCTCACTAGTCATAATGTCTACAAAATATTATTATCAAGATTCTTCTTATCTTTAATCTTTGAATTCGTGCTACTTACGCTTCAATTTAGAATATGAAGTCAAAGGAAAAAAAGTCGGATGAACAAGGTATGTATATGTATAATCGTTTTAATGCCAAAAAAGGTTTTTATTCGGAATTACAATACTTTAGGGATATCGCGGTAGAAGAATTTATTGACATCTCACTTATACCTAACACTGTAATTATATCATGTGATATTTAAACATGTGTCTTCATTTTGTTAGAGAGCTTTGCAAGGACACAAGAATATCATTGAAAAATTATGATGAAGAAAAACGTTCTTTGAATATCACAATTTTTGTATGCTGGGTATATGTAGTGTCATAGCACTACAATGTTATACAGATGGATGATGGAAAAACCAAAACAATTTCATCCGGTATGAAAAACAGATAGATTGTTATATTGTCAAATGCTCACGACCTTTGAAAGCAATATAATGCGAGAAGACACCGTTACAAATATCACACCCATATGAAATCATGAAGATCTATCTTATTTTTCTAAATAACTGTTGTTTGTAATATAATAACATATCCAAACGTGGTTAGTGAAGACATAGATGATAAAATCCATGCCCTTATAACACATGATTGTCTTCACATCAATAAACTGATCAATATCAAAATAGAGCAA